CCCCAAACCTGGCCCTCACTTTGTTTACAAAGCAGTGTAATTGGTTTAAGCCCCGAGGCTAGGGAAAGAGGAAAAATGGGGCGGGTTGGGTCTCTGTGTGTGTGTGACCCCCTTTGGAAAAGGAGAAAAAAAAAAAAAATAGGCGGTGCCTGGAGGACAGGCCAGGGCTCTAAACCCAGCAGTGCTGCGGGAGAAGGACCCGGGCGCTGGCGTCAGATCTCCAGCGCAGGGACCATGCTCGCTGAATGACCCCGCGTTCCCTCCCAGAGGCGCTCACTAACCCTCTGGACCTGACTGCGACTCGGTTCTGGGTCCCTGGGCTCCTTGGCTCCCCCACCCCGATTCCTGACCCAAAGTTCAACCCTGAGAGATGCCCTCCCCCTCCCCCCTCCCCCGCTCCCACTTCCCAGGCTTTGGGCTTGTAAAGGGAAAAAGCCCCACTTTTGCCTCGTCACTAGAAACCCAGTCATCTGAGTCAGCCGAGCAGGTGACGTTAGGCCGACCTGGGCTCCTGGCTAGCAGAACGGAGGCGCTGCCACGAAACTCGTACCTGCGGCTAAGAGCAGGTGAGTCACAGCACCGTTTTATATTTTTATGACATAACTTTTTTTTTCTTTTTCCGCCTCAGTCCACTCCACTCCCCTTGTCATCTGCAGCGATCAGAAAGAGGAAGAAACTGAGAGCAGATGTTTGTGTGATAGGGCCTGCCTCTCTCTCGGCCGGGCTCCTCCTCCAACCCCCCTTCTGCAGCCTCCGGGACCGAGCTGGAGGCGACCGTCTGGTTTCTGATAGAGAAAGGTCAGGGGGAGGGGACATCTCCCTAAACACCGGCGTCAACTGGGAGCGTAAGGGCTTGGGGTGCTGGAACGCATCTGCCACGCTAGAGGAGGTGCCAGCCTGAAGCTAGAGTCAGCCCACAGCAGTGCCCGGTCTCTAACCTGGAGGAGAGGGGCGAGGGTGTCAGGCTTTCAAAAGGTCCGGGACGACTGTGGAAAATTCTCCCCCACTCAAAGTCTTTTTGCCTGCTACCAGTTCTTCCCAGGTAGTGAGTGGCTTGTCCTCTTGTCCTGCGGAAAGAGACTAATCAAAGAGATTCGATTTGGGTCGACAGTTTGTGATAGGTTCGGAGGAGCTGCCTACTTCTGAGCGACCGACTGAATGTGTTGGAGAACGTGTATCTCTACCGAGTGCGTTTCTAAGGGAATGTGACTGTGTGGTCCTCCGTGTGTTGCGCCAGGCTGTAGATTTTACTAGATTTCCTTTAGAAGCAATAAAATAAACTCTAAAGTGATCAAGAGACTAAAATATTCTTGTTTTGCCAAGTTTTTTTTTAAAGGTAATTAATCTCATTTGAAGGAATGCGTTTTTACTTGTCTTCCAAATAGATACCCACCCCCCACCACCCCGTGCTTTGTTCTTTTAAATCTTTCTTCCTTGAAATCTGGCAAGAGAATCACGTTAAATCCTTGAACCAAACAAATCTTTTAAATCAGCAGGGGAGCAGCGAAGGTGAAGATGTGTAGTTAAGGAAATAAAAAAGATAAAAGCATTGGATTACAATTCCTTTTTGAACAAAAAGTGTGTGTGTGTGTGTGTGTGTGTGTGTGTGTGTGTGTGTGTGTGTGTGTAGATATCACGTTATAAGCAAAGGCATGAGAGTGGAACTGAATCTACCTAGAACTCAGCAGAGCAGGCCACCCTCTCCTAGCCTAGCCTGCTCCTGTGACTGGAAGTCACCCCCACGGTTATGTCAATGTGTGTCTATGGATGTGTGTCAGAAAGTAATTCTTTTGTGGAAAGTTCCCACCATCAGCAGGACCTTGGTTTATAAAGCACACGGATGCTGGGCTTCCTCAGTCTGGTCCTGGGGACTTCCAGGGCCAGGCGCTTCCTTGTTCCTCCGTGACTGGTTCTCTGATGCCTTCTTGGATCTTCTACAACACCTAGCATGACTTACATTTCCTGTGGCTAGTAACGACTTAGTAAAGGCTTCATACAGAGCATAAAAAGCTGATGCCTGGGGGAG